CAATAATATGGACTTCCTACATCATGACCCACATTCTAAATCTACAGCCATGCATACTCTGTTATTTTAAGGGCTCTTGGCACAGCAGAATTCTCAACACACACACACACACACACACACACACACACACACACACAAATCAATACAGTTGTTAATATTCATCAGGTTTACCTGTACAGTTATGCTTATGGATTTTTTTTTCTCTTGGAAAAGACAGCAAACAGCAGCCCCAGATACTCACAGGATCATCCCACTTGGGAAGATCTCACAGGAAAGCATAAAAGACACAAAGCATATCCAGCATCTCTGCTCTCAGAACAACCTTGGGGTAAGACGGCCTCATTGGGATACAGACTTCAAGACAAGGATGGTAAACAGCAGTGTCCAGAGTGCAAGCCGAAGAGCCAGGATGTGGCTAGGCACAGCCCCCAAACTCAAAGCCACCACTCATCAAGCCCTAGGAAGATGAGGGCTGTGGGGTTTCAGATAACTCACACATCTGGATTGATGGAAATGTATTAGCGGGTAGAAGGGAATAGGGCTGGAGTGGGAGCTTGAGTCAGTAAAGGACTTGTCCTGTGTGCAGGTGGTTAAGAGTTCAATTGCACAATTCACACACACACACACACACACACACACACACACACACACACACACACACAAAAGTCCCAGTGTCCTGGCCCACAATCTTGCACGCCTAGCACTAGGCAGGAGAAGGCAGACAAAGCCCTGGAATTCATTGGGGAGCGAGGCTAGGATAATTAGAGAGGCCCAAGCTGGGTGAGACTACCTTGTCTCAAAACAAAACAATGCAAAACAAGATGGATGCTACCTGAGACATAACAAAGTTGAACTCTGACACTACTCATATGTGCACACTCAGGCATATGCTCTCCCATACGTGCACACATTTATAAACATGCACATACACAAAAGAAGCTACATATAGGGGAAGTGAAGGGCCTTTACACATCAATAGTAATTGAAGTCATGGAATAGAATTGAAATGTATGTTTGTTGTTTACAAATTGTTAGCTATGCTGAATCTTTTAAAAATAGTTTATTAATTCTTTTAGAATTTTAAGCAATGCATGTTGATAGGATTCACCCCATCTTCCAACTCCTTCCAGGTCCACCTCCACCTCCCTAGCTACCCAACTTCATTCTCTGTCTCTGTCTCTGTCTGTCTCTGTCTCTCTGTCTGTCTCTGTCTCTGTCTCTGTCTCTGTCTCTCTCTCTCTCCCCCCCTCTCTCCCTCTTTCTCCATCAAATCCAGTTCTTGTTTATGAACTACTCTTGGGTGTCTGGCCCGTCTTACAGTGTAGTTAATATACCATGGTTAACACCATTTATAAAACAATCTCCTTTCTGAGCAGCTGTCAAATGCCAGTAGCTTCTTGTCTAGGACCGGGATTCTTAGCTTTTTTTCTTAATGCCTCATTCCCTACACACACTCTTCCTGTAAGAAATGAGTATGGCTAGACAGCAACATTTTATTTAGAATCTTCAGACTTCCTTAATTTTTGTTTTTATCTGACCAATATAATTACTGAAATAGTAGCTTATATTTCAGGTAAACACTACACAGAGACATAAGAAGCAGTCTGAATCAATCACATTTCTGTCGGGCTTTAAGTTGGAATAAAACATTCCTCAGTGACATGAAGAAACCACATTGTACAAAAAGAAGGCAAAATCCAGGCAGTTTTTAGTTTTTTATCTTCAGATCTTGTCAGACTTTCCCAGCTAAAAATTCTTTATTTAAACTAAAACAGATATGAAATCCTAGCACATGTATCTAAATTATAATTGCTTTATCAAACAAGTATCTCCTTTTTTTCCCCACTTCATCGAGATAGGGTCTCAAAGCAGTTGCCACCTTTAAATCTGTTTATCTTTCCTAATTTAACATACACTGGTTTCTATCACACCGTGCTCAGAGTTTCTTTCAAAGTGGACAGCAATCAATCACATGACATAGTCAATGTTTTCACATTGTGAGGTCCAGTCTACTTCACAGAACATTTGCGGGCAACAGCCTCAGAATGAAGGTCCTCTCTCCTCAGGTCCTTCCAACCATGCTGCACATATGAGCTAGAACATTTTATATTTTTAAGTTTCCTAGGCTGTTACAGAAAATAATAACCACAGTTATAAATGGAATGTAAGTATTTCCTTGAAATAAAACAAGCTATAGAGATTATATAATGCATCACAATTTATTTGTTATAAACAATATTCTAAGAGTTTTTAAGTTCAGGCAGAAAGAGGCTATGTGGTAAAGTTTGGAAGCTCAGAAACATCCACTTTCTTTGTGTATTTCTGCACCTATTTATGTTTTTTCCCAAAGATATTATACTTGTATATAAAGCATCAGATGTTCATGGTATTGGATTTGACTGCATAGTGTTGAATATGAAGCAGTTGTAAACTGGGTTGTAAAAAGAACAAGCATAGCTGTGTGAAGGTGAGCAGAATCCTGTGATGAGTTAGCTGAATGACCTTCTAGATTTGTTTTCCAGTTGTGTTTTGGTGTTTGTTTGTTTTGGAATGAGGCCTTTCTCGTAGCCCAGGCTAGCCTTGAGCTTGAAATAATCCTGTCTGAGCCTGTCTTGTCAGTCCTGACACTATCAATATAATTCCATATAAGCTTAGGTGACGCACATGCGTGTGTGTGTGTGTGTGTGTGTGTGTGTGTGTAATTAAATTTTGTATGTAAATTTTTTAACTAAGTTAAAATTTGCACAAACTTGACAAAAAGTCACTGCTGTACTAATATCTTATTCATACTTAATGTATATAACTAACAAAATACAAAAACATTTACACAGCATACACAGCTATAAAGAAAATACTAATATGTTAAATTTTAAAGTAACTACCCAGCCTTAGATTTTTCAGTATTTTTGTTGAATGTTTGAGAATTTCTTACTTATATATTATGTCTTTGAATCCAATCTACTCTGCATCATTCTGTTCCAAATCTTCCCAGATTACCCCACCACTACCACATCTCCCTCCCAATCCCCTCCTGCTCCTTTTTAGCCACTGAGTTCATTTGGTTATGTCAGTATGTGCCTGAGTGTAAGACCATTCACTAGAGCATGGACAACTTGTCCGGGGCCAAATCTCCAAAGAAAACTGACATTTTCTCCCAAGCAGCCACTATTAACTATAATTTAAAAATCACTACAGTGATGTTCACCCATGTTTCCTTTTACTCCTTTTCTCTTTTAAAATTATTCATCTTCAGTTTATCATGGCGACAATCCCAACACTGTTAGAAGGACTTTTACACGCCTCCTCGAAAGTAATCTAAGACCTTAAAAGCAGTTACACATTTTGACTGACAATGTTTCTTTTTTTCTCTAGGAAAATGATTATAAATAAAAACAAAACAAAAGTATACTGAAGCACTCACACCAACCTTATATATATATTGACAAAACCTTTGAAAAAAGGGTAACTAACTTGCTCCACATCTACGTTTTAGAGGGTATGTGTGCATGCTTGCATGTGTGCAGTTACACATTTATTTGAGTGTGTGTGTGCACATTCCCATGTGTGCCTGTGGATGTGGATGCCAGAAGACAGTTTCAGGGAAAGTTTCTTGAGAAAGTGTCTCTCATTGGTCTGGAGCTGACCAACTAGGCTCTGATGCCTGGAGATTGGGGCCTCTGGATCCTCCTGTTTCTGCCTCCTCAGTTCCCAAGCATGCCAACACATCTGATTTTCATGCTGAGTCTGTGGACTGAGCAATCTCCCTAGTCCATTCAGAAATGTGTATAATGAGCAGGAATATGTTTATACTTACAAGTCAAAAATAATATACTTACAAAAAAATATACTTACAAGTAAAACGAAGGTATATCAACCTTGAAATATGTAGGAAGAAAATTTTGGTAATGCATAGGGTTAACTAAGTCCCCTCTGTACAAAATTTTCTCATTTCTAGACTGGAGAAAATACCAATATCTAGTTCCCATAATCACAGAGATATTTGTACATAGTAAATGCTTTCTAAATGTCAATCATTATTTTGAAGATTTTGTTCTTACTTGTTTGTTGTGTCAGAAAGAGAAAATAGGGGAGTCTTAGTCTCAGTAATATTCTTTTGCTTTCTCAGTTTATAAAGAAAGCAACAACAGTCAGTCATTTTAAATCTACAAAGGGAAAATTAAAAGGTGATTTCCTTGTTTTGAAATAGTGAATGAATACATAACAACCAAGCAGCAGGACAACCCAACATCGAATATTCAGGTGTTTCTTATCTGAGATAAATGCCCATGGATAGCCCTGTCTATTTACCAAGAGAACAAAAGTGAAGAAGTCTGATGTGCACACAATTCGCTGAGCACCCATCTCTGTGTGCTTGGATCCTCCATGATAGTCATTTGTGTGTTTTCTACTGAGTCTCTTCAGTTCCTCTCAGAAGAGCAGTGTCCATAATTTCCAAGCCCCGGGGAGAGAAATTGTAGCTGGATGTGCTGTTAGGACTGGGAGGTTCCTTAAGATGAAGTGGGGTTGCAATGCAGACCCTAAGACGCTGTCTTTAGGGTAAGAGATGCCTCTTCTGAGGAATTGGTGAAAAGAGACAGTAAACTAAAGAGCTCTCACACATGTATACCAGACATCAAAGGTGGGGTCTTCCTTCAGCATCTGTCTATGTCCTGCTAGGTTCCAGCCTTTGGGTGGTTGTTTACTAACTCATATAGGTACCTACTCTACATCATTTGTAGAAATCAGGATTTAGTGAGTTTACATGTCTCAGTACTTTAGAGAGTGAACTCAAATATGAGAATTCAAGAGATATCTTGATTTCTACTTTAATTTTTTTGATCCTTTGATGTTGGAAACAATGGTCACCCATGCAGCTCCTTATAAAGCCAATGTACAGCTTCACATTGAGAGTAGACAAAAGAGACAAAGCCAGCCATGTTTCCCTCTCACACTATATTTTACAGACTTCATTTCATGTCCCTAAATTGTTTTCTTCTTAGAATGAGGCCAACAAGGTCACCATCAATCTACGAGGAGAAACTGAGATCACCAGGTCAAGACGCAACCCTTTGCCAGGAAGGAAGGACAAGACATCTGTGGAGTGATGGCTCTTCTCCCCACCATCTTCAGCCATTCACCAACAGCTCATTTTCATCTCAGATTGCTTCACAGCTTTCTCCACGAGTATTGACAAGTCATTGCTTCTTCTTTGTCCACCTAAAGAAACATTTTAGGATTTGTTCCCCCACCAAAGGAGTAGGTGGTGACCCAGGCTTCTACTTTTAGAAAGAACCCTGTGTGGTGGCTCTTTCTCAGCTCAGACTCACTCTGAGTCCACCTCAGAGCTCACTTTCAGCTCTACCAACATTCCATCAAGTACACAACACAAGAAGGACAAGAGCTGTTTAGCTGTGACTTGAAAAGCATCTTTTCTGATTGACTCAAGAGATTTGAAATTGAAAGCAGAAATATGGGATTAGAATTCAAAACACTGTGTAGTGATTCTCTGCATAATTGTTCATTTTTAAGAGTCTTCTTGCAACTCCTCCCTGTCTCAAAAGACACTCTGTAGCACATTTCCAGTTTTCTCTTTCCTATAATCTAATTAATCCTGATGGAGGAAAACTCATAGCATTTAAGGTTGGGTTTCTATTAGCTTCATGTCAGGACAGCTAGAGCATCTTCAGTCAGAGCAATTGAATAAGATAAAACAGAGTTTGATTTTCTTGGAAGGAACATTTCAAAGGATGACCTTGGTGGTCAGATCTAATTACATAATCTTTTATATATGAGGTGGAGTCCTATTAAGCTAATTCATCTACGTTTTAAGTTTAAGTACATTATCCAAGGCCAACAGATCTCTATAAGAATATTTTTCATCAGTTTTTTTTAAATGAAAATCATTGAAACCACTCAGATTTTGGATTACCTGATGTTCCAATGTGTAATTATATCAGCATTTGCATTTCATATAGCTGATAATACAGCCCTATGTTCAAAGCTATGTGATCAAATATATTCTAATACCTTGGTTTATAGAGAGAAAGGTATTGGAATCATTTACTAATCACAGGGCATATAATAAACTTGAACAACATCAACCACAAAAGGCAGGCATAGCCATGTTTGTGAAACAGATTGCATCCTTCTCTTTGCACTGCCAGTGAGTGACCAGTTATTAAGTCTACCAAAATTTTTAAACATTTTTTTCTTTTCTAAGACAATTATCATTTATTTAATTCAAACTTCTCTAATATTCTCACATTCAAATGAACAGGACAGCTTTACAAAATTATCAAATAATATCTCACACAGATATTGAATGATTTAGTGAAAGAGTAGGTCCTAAACAAAGCAAGAAGATTTTAAATCCTTTGCTTTTATAAATTACAGGCATGTGTACATGTACAAGGGTAGCTATGGTATTCCAATACATGTATACACTGTGTGTGACCAATGAAAGTGTTTGGAGGTGTCTTAGGGTTTCTATTGCTATAAAGAGACACTATGACCATGGTAACTCTTCTTTCTTTCTTTCTTTCTTTCTTTCTTTCTTTCTTTCTTTCTTTCTTTCTTTCTTTCTTTCTTTCTTTCTTTCTTCCTTCCTTCCTTCC